GCTGGGGACACTTGTACGAGGAACCCAGCGAGGTGGTTTTCCTTCAAGAAGCAAAGCCTGCTCCTCTGTTCTTTTTGAAATGTTAATAATCAGATCTGTTCCAACCACCGCACGTGGAAAAAAACTTGCATGTGCTAGAGGAAAGATCGAGATCAAGGGAGAGAGCGACCTGACCTGCCTGTGCCCGTGAGCCAGCAAGCTACAGGACAGAGAGTGAGAGACCAGAGGGGAGAGGAAGCTCTGCAATGATTCACGGGCTGGAAATGGCAGTGGTTTCTCAGCCCTCCCACCCTGCACCAGAGCACCGGGCTCTGGCAGCTGCCGAGCCCCAGGGTGGTCAGAGCAGCCCTGCCACCGTCCTGTGGCACAGCTCCAGTCCCAGTCACGCGTGGGCTGGCCCAGGGAGCTCGCAGGCACACGCTAACCACCTCCAGAGTGGCAAGTCTCCTGCAAATTCTTCTTTTCACCTTCTTTGGCCCCATGGCTCCATGAAGCATCTCAAATACTGTGCTGCAGAGTGAAGTTCCTGCCGCCAAGGGAGACCGTGACGGGGCGAAGGGAAGTGCTGGCCATGAGGCGTGGGGATGAGGTGCGCACCCTCGCTGCAAGAGCGGACAAGCTCCATGAAACCCACCGCAGGCCCCTGAGCCCGGTGGAGGAGGACGGGGACGGGCGAGGGCTGGGAGGTGCGAGGCTCGTTCTCTCCAAAATGCAAGACCTCCCTCTGCTGTCGGCGCGCGCCTGCGGCTGCGACAGCCGAGGTGGGGTCACTGCCCCTGCACCCGGGTCCTGGAAGGGAACCTCATTGCATGGGGGTACTAAAGCAGCTCCCAGAAGCTCCACTGTATTATTTTTTAAAAGCCCAGTGCCTGAGTTCTAGGTAAAGACAGAACAAATGTGAGAAGACCTAGACGAGACACCCAACCTGTAGCGATGACGCTTATTTTCACTAAGCGCTCAGTATTTTCTGGAGTTTTGGGGAAGGAGTGGGGAAGGAAAAGGAAGTTTTCACAGTGGTTTCAACAGTCCTCGTTTGTATCGCCTGGAGAATAATGTAGTTTACCCATAAAAAATAAGTTGCTTCTGAAGAATAAAGCACAGACCGATGCAACTGTGACATGAAGCTCTGCATTAGAAAAACAAATAAAAACCCACCACCAAAACAGGCAAATGGCCTCTTGTCATTTTAGTATACTTAAACCAAATAAAAGCTTTAGGATTGCAAGCACATCCCTCATTTGCTTCTCCGTGACTTAACGCAGCCTTAGCATTGTGCGAGAGGTCTTACCAGTGACCATCCAGTACAGCTGGCCAAAGGCCTCGAAGCAGATTTGTTGTGCCTTTATCTATCAGGTGACATGAGGACCCAGACTATACCATTAATGCTTTATTAGAGACAGGATCCTTTACCAAATCTCATCCCTCTAGTGTAAGGAGACCAGAGGGATTTATTGCTGTAATTCCAGATGAGGCGATGCCTTTGTGTTAGGCAATTAATGCTGACAACAATTTATCAGACCTACTAAGGCCAGTCTTTGACCAGAGGCGGATTCATTTAAAAAAAATAGCTCAACTGCAAGCCTTTTTCCTCCCTTTCTGTCCCTCTCCCTCTGTGCTAATCGTCCTCCTAAGGCTGACTCCCTGTGCCAGACATGGAGAATTTCACAGGTCCGATGTGGCCTGATTGCGTTATCGCCAACAATGGGCACTTGGGATTTGCTGCGGCTACAAGATCAGCCGCTGATGAGGTGAGAGCAGCTCTGGCAGAGTGCTTCACTCTTCTGCGGTAACACTCCACTGGATTTAGAAGCCCAAACTAGCTTGTTCCATAATAAGGCTTTTTTTCATCACCAGTTTCTGCACACAAATGAGATGAATCAAGGCTATACACAGAACACACGCACCTCTCAACAGAATGGCTTTTTAAATCAACCAGCAAATATCAGTAAGTCATACCACAGCATGTGTAAACATGTTTGTTAAGTTGATGAAGTCAGCAGCATAGAGACACAAAGCTCTTCAGCAGCTGGAGTCAGTGGAAGTCTATGGCTAGGTTTATCTCCGAGCAGTTCTACGGGCGCTCATGGCAGCACAGAAAGCAGTGCTGTGAATCCTGCCCTTATCAGGCCAGCAGGTGCCAGGACATTGCTTCTTACTCATACACTAACATAATCAAAGTTAAAATAGAACTAGCATGCATTTTCCAGTCAATATTTTTGGTCTGTGCCTTCTGTGAAATAATCCCCAAGTAAAAAATTGATGCAAATCAAACCCCAGTTGTACAGGCAAGGAACGGGCCTGCACAGACAGGGCGCGATCACTCAGCACAAGCAATTTCTGACGGGTCATCGCTGCGAGCCAGCCTGTGCCTCCTCATTTGGAGCTACCTAAACTGAGGGTAACACACGGATGTAAACATCACAAACTTGACAGCCAGAGGAGTTAAAGCTGGGAGAGCTGTAAAGATTTCAACAGAAAAGCCCTGCTGGGCAGTCACGCTTTCCCGGTTTAACGAGAAACTCTGGGGGGGGTTGTTTCTATGGCTTATAGGAGTATTCACATGCAAGACTGCACCTGCACTATTCCGGCCAGCTCTAGCAGAACTTGCTCTGAAGTCGATCTGAATTGTTTTTCATAACCTGCGTGGTCCGCTGTTTGAAAGATTGTAAATAAAGTTGCAACTAATCAGTACAAACTATTAAATGGAAGCCAAAAGTTGAAGTCTCTGCATTTCTCACTGTCCATTGTGCTCCCTGCAGCGTACCACAGCCGGCAAGAAGTGGTTTTAGGGACGTGTTGAAACAAAATGTACGGACCATGAGGAAGAAGTGATGAGAGTTGACACAAAGATAGGATTTTATAAATTAAATGGCCTTTATTTGTAATTTGTCTTCAAAAGTCAAAAACATGACAAAGTAATTGCTCGGAAGCTTCTAAATGCTCCTTAAACATTTTACGAGAATTGCATGGAAGTGCACTTAGAATAGTAGCAGAAATCTAGATCCTGGTCAATGGGTATCGCCAAACTGCGTTCTAGCCAGAACCCAGAAATCCCCATCAACCACTAATACATTGTAATCTCTTTGCAGATCAAGCGTTAAAAAAATCAACCCCAAACATAGTACTTTCTTCCATAGTACCATGAGATTTCCACATCCCCCCAAGACTGAGCTTCCAGTCACCAAGCAGATACTTAAGGACAAGTCTGTACTAGCCCATGCCAAGTTGGGGAAAACATACTAAAACCAAGTTCAACTTGAACACGTTAGAGGTCTGGCTGAACACAAAGTTTAATCGAGAGGTTTCAGCTGGGGTGTGTTTCATCATTCTAAGGATAAGGCTATGCTGCAGTCTGCAGAGTGCGATGATAATCAAGTTTACTGGTCAAATAAATTAATTAGTACTCAATTCTGTGGTGGTGCAGGTCCACTGCTCCGATTAAACATGCTTAAATTAGACTAGACATCTCAACACTACTGTGATTTACAAGTTCTGGTCAGGTGTCTTAGATCGTTAGATCTCAGCATCTTGACTGTGCAGTTAATGAAAACGTTGAACTAAAAAGGAATTTCTAGAAGTGTAGACTTGAATACAGAGTATCCATTTACCATGTACTGGAATTGCCATCCTGCTTTCTGGGTTATATTTTACTTTTTCTTTGAAAGCTATACCTGCATATTATACGTATAATATTATATGGAAAACAATCTAAGTACAGCTTCAGCTACTTTAGCAACATTTAAATGAAGAACGGGAATTCAAAATACCTGTTAAAATCTGTAATGCAGAAAGGCAGTGCTATGCAAGTGCTATGAATTATTGGTAAGTTTTGCTACCAGCTTGCCTTGAGAGATGGAAAAACTAGGAATATATTAAAAAATTTTAGTTTAAATAGAAAGCAGAGGTATTGAAAAAAACCTTCTGAACTCCCCTATCAGCATAAGGCTTAAAATCACTAGAAAACCAGTTTCAAAACCACCAATGTAATCATAAAGCCAGCAAATATGATTAATATTTGCTAAGGTTAAGACCAACATTAAAGTTTATTTTCCAGGCTAGAAATTATGGTCAAAATATGGAAGAAAGTAATAATCATGCATAGAACTAAAATATTTTGAACTAGTTGCTTACACAGGTGCAAAGATTTGCTAAGAAAGTTTGTAGTTTGAAGACTCATACTGAAGACGTTTTCCATACAGCTGAGAGGATGCATATAAGAATTTAAACGCTGGGAAACGTTATGAAATCACAGGCATCATAGGTCACTTCAAATGAGAGCTGGTCCGACAATTACAGTTAGCACCTAGAGGTCTCACTAAAGGAAAACAGAGCTACAAATACACCTCTCATACTATCATTTAAGATACGTAAATGGATTGGGAAGAGATATTAACTAGTTCAGGCCATTCCATTTGGAATGGTTTTGGCTTTAGACAATCAAATGAACACAACTGCAAAAGAAACCAAGAAATAGGCAAACAGATTTGTCTCTTCCATGTTCACCTACAATTAAGCTTTGTGTGAAGCAAGTAAGAAAATCAGGCTGACTGGGTTGAATGGCATAGACCATGTTAACAAAAGACTTAGTATTACAGAAACATCAAACGAGGATTTGAAACAGAGATAGGGATTAAAAAGTCTTCTGTATTTCTGGATGCCTGAGTTCATCTTGGGATGTACAGGGAGAACTGCGAGGATGCTGGGCATTTCCCCCTCATGGAAGCTTGGGTTTACAGTTAATCTTCTAGTTGGTTCATTTATCCCGCAAAGAACGCATCAAAACCTGTGCCATCATATCATCTTCATCAGCATCATAATCCTATGAACAAAGGGTACAGAAATTCTTTTACTGCAACAGCCATGCTGGATAATACAACACCAAATAAGAACAGAAAAAAAGCTGTCTCTTCCTTTGACTTGCCAGTAATCCAATTTCTCTCATGATACCATCTGCATAGATGAGATTTCACAGTAGTGGCTATGGAAAAAAGCTGGGGTTTAAGAGTCATCAGGCTGTATTCCAAGGGTGAGGAAACACATACCACAAAAGTATCATACGAAAAGCGATGTCGTCTCTGAAGGTGCTCCATGAAGTTAGCACTCCTGTAGTTTGGATCTCCCCATGGCATTGACGCACAAATTGGGCAAACCTTCAAGAAAAACCCAAAAAAGCCAATTAAGCTGCAATGGTTAAGTGCTTTAACATTTACAGTAGGAAGGGCTGGACAGAGACAGCATGGAAGACTGAAATTCAGGGTGGAAGACTGAAATTCAAGGTTTGTGACAATCACTATTCTATATGCAAAGTGATGTCAATTAGTTTGCTGGGAAATTTAATAGAAAAGTTTCAGATAACCCCAAATAATTTTAACTCAAGTCTTAGACCTCTGAACTGGAATGGCTTACTCTGCTCTCTACATTCTGAAAATCAGAATCGACTACAGCTTTTTGCTTTAGAAGATGTCAGCCTTTATTTCTCAGTAACAGAAAAGTTTCCTTGATCTCCTTTGCAAAGATCACTTCTCTCCAAGAGAAAAAAGGAACCTTTTTCCTAAATAATTTGGAATTCAAAAAAACTTCCCAGAAAAATGAAAGTTTCAAATTCAGTTCCATGTTTTGCAATTCCTTTTATACAAGAGGGAGTATCAGCAGATAACGATTACTAGAATGATACGCTATTTTTTGCAAGCATCTTTCCTGATGGCTTATAATATCTTCTTGCTGAAAACAGCAGAGGGGAAAATTAAATGCCTGACATCTTTCTGAAACTGTATCTTATTAATTTTATGTTTGTTACTGTGCCTAATTAACTTTGAATGTCTGCCATTTTTCAAATATGAAAGGAGGATGTGACCTAGCTGCAACAGGAATAGAGAATAGTCACCTCCAGAGAATATATTGAAAACCAACATCAAAATTATGTAAGAGTTAAGTGCATGAAGAGCATACCCACATTTGACTTTAACAGGAGTAATTATAAATATGTACTTAACTTCAAGAGTAAGTCTCTAATTCATTGCTTTCAAAGGGATTTAAGACTAGACTTCATTGCAATTCTTGCACCAAGACTTTTTATTACCACTTGTTTGGCATCCATGCTGTGCAATGTTTTGCAGTGTTCAACTAGTCCTTCTTGATCAAAGTTTTTCTCGCTGCAATACGGACAAGGAAAGGTAAAGCGATTTGGGAAGTTCCTGGTTGGGGGGGAAAAAAAGAGGTTATTTATCATTGTAAGAAAGTTAAAAGTAAAAGCTTTAGGATTCAATACTCAAGTGTTGTCTTACCAGCTCTTAAGAATACAAAACAATTTAAAGCAATAGTCTTATTCTATGCAATTAAGACAAGCTAATTTTAAGAATCAGCTTTTTAATTCCCAACAATAGCTTAAGGAACTCTTAATATCATCCATATTTACACAGAATGAGAGCTCTTCTACAAATGTTATAAATGCCATTTACCTTTTTTTTTTTTTTAAATTGTCCTGGTTTCAGCTGGGATAGAGTTAATTTTCTT